TCACATACAAAGGAAAGCCCATCAGAATCACAGCAGACTTCTCAATGCAAACCCTCAAGGCAAGAAGAGCTTGGAGTGACGTATTTCAAGCCCTAGAGGGAAACAGCCTCCAACCCAGATCGATGTACCCTGAAAAACTATCTTTCAAAATGGATGGAGAAATAAGATACTTTCATGACAAAGAGCACCTTAGGAACTTCACAAATGCCAAACAAGCACTCCAAAAAATTTTAAACAATATCCTAGGAAAAGACAAGGAGGATGACATTCCAAGGAAGCTCAGCAGAATGAATCAATTGGCACAACAAGAAATTAAATGCAAAGGGGGAGAATCTAACAAAAAGAAAAAGTCATGACAAGGATAAGTCAATACATATCAGTTATAGCCATCAATGTTAATCAATTCACCAATCAAAAGAAATAGACTTGCGGAATGGGTCAAAAAGCAAGATCCAACAATATGCTGCATACAAGAAACACACTTAATTCAACAAGAAACTCATAGGCTGAAAGTTAAAGGGTGGAAAACAACCCTCCATGAGACAGGAACCCAAAAAATAGTAAGAGTACCTATCCTCTTTGCAGATCAAGTGCGTTTAAAACCAACACTGATTAAGAGAGACAAAGAAGGACACTACATCCTTGTAAAGGGAACAATCCAACAGGAAGAGATGATAATCATTAATATATATGCACCAAACACTAGTGCATCCAACTATATAAAACAAACACTAATGGACATGAAAAATCATATAAGCACTAATACAATAGTAGTGGTGGACCTTAATACCCCACTTTCACAAATAGATAGATCAACTAGACAAAAAATAAACAACAACATACTAGAACTCAATCAAACTCTTGAACAAATGAACTTAACAGATGTTTACAGAGTTTCCCACCCCACACAATCAGAATACACATTCTTTTCAGCTTCACATTGGTCATTCTGTAAAATAGACCACATACTCACTCATAGAACATGTTTAAGTAAGTGCAAAGGAGTTGAAGTTATCCCCTGTATATTGTCAGACCATAAGTGTGATGAAATTGGAGATCAATAGCAAAAGAAACTGCAAGACTTTCATAAACACATGGAAACTGCACAACACACTTCTGGATAAGCAATGGGCCACTGAGGAAATGAAAGAAGAAATCACACAGTTTCTACAATTAAATAACAATGACAATAAAACATATCAGAATCTATGGGACACAATGAAAGCAGTCTTAAAAGGGAAATTCATAGCAGTGAATACTCACATTAGGAAAACAGAGCAAGCTCAATTGCACAACCTTATGCTGAACCTCAAGCTTCTAGAAAAAGAAGAGCAGGACAAACCCAAAGCACATAGAAGGAAAGAAATTATACAGATCAAGGTAGAAATCAATGCAATGGAGACTAAGAGAACAATACAAAAAAATCAATGAAGCCAAGATTTGGTATTTCAAAAGATTAAACCAAATTGACAAACCCATAGCGAAGCTTATCAGAAAAAGGAAAGAAAAGGCCCAAATCCATGCAATTAGGAATGAAAAGGGTGAAATTACAATGGACCGAGCAGAAATCCAGAGGATCATCAATACCTACTTCGAGAACCTATATGCCAATAAGATGAAAAACAGAAGAAATGGACAGATTCCTAGATACATATGAATTACCAAAGTTGAACAAAGAAGACATAAAAGTTCTAAACACCCAAT